TGGGGAGCATTTTTAAAGGTTTCTTCCACAGAACCTCATTCACACTGTAGAAAGATCTGAATCTTTGTTTGTGTTTTCTAAATGCTTTACATTTTTTGCAGGCAAGTTTACAGTATGTATGTTTGTTGATACTTGTGATAGACATATAGCTAGAAATAATGGACTAGTCAAAACCAATATTTTAAACATATAATTTCAAAATGTAGGAAACATGTTATTATTGGTATAGGTGCAACCTTATAGCTGCTTTTAATTTCAATTTACTTAGTGTTATGCATGGTTTCACCCAGGGCTGTGCCTTTTTCATTCTGCTCAACATATGGAATTGCTAAATTTGTTTATTTTGATACATTTGTTTAATTTAAATTATCTTTCAGACTTCAAGCATGTTTTTTTTTATTCTGACTTTTCACTGACTTGCATTGTTAAATATGTCCAACTCAACATATGACAGGAAACACTAATGTATATAAAAGGCTTAACTTTTTTTCTGGACTGTTTCTCTGTGTGCTGTAGAAATGTGATCTTCTGAAAGTCCTATCCATATCGGTCAGGCATCTGCTTTTTATGTAGTAGTCTCACCGGCGATACTAGATAGAAACCACTTGGTGTTATATAGACATACAGTATAATAATATATAATAAGTACCCTTCATTTCTGTCTAAAAACTATCATGCCTAACACTCTTCAATTCATTGAGTCTCTTCATTGAGTTTGTGATACAGAGGCTTCAAGCATAATTATAGGCCATTACTAACACGAGAGGCCTGTTGTTATTTGATATGTTGTTTGTAACATATCAGCATGTACACGTTGCATAACATGTACACGACATAATAACAACGTGTTGTTATTTGAGTTCACACGTGCAAAAGAAATCTCATGGGGCTTCTTCAAATGTATGTTGTTCCCTCCTGAATATCTGTGATTAAGTCGACGCTTCTTGATTTTTTTTTTAAGGTGTCAACCTTATGGTATTAGGATTTAAATCCATCAGCTCTTGAAGCACATGTAGTTATTATGAAAAGTGTTCAAAGATGATCAATGTCCATAACTGGCCAAACCTCTCTTAAGAATGAGGAAAACGTGTAATTATTTTTAATTGAAGCTGAAACACAACACAGTGCTGCGTCGACATCTTCTCCTGTTTCCTTATATTAATATAAAACTACCATTTGTTGACATATTTATTCCCAGTACATTCAATATAATGCATCTATATTGGTTCCTGAATTCTTTCAACAAAGGAAAAGAAAAACTGAATTTGTTGTGAAACTGTTTTTTTTTTATTGCCCGTGCAAGAAATTAAATTAATTAGAACCACCAATTCGCATGAAGAATGAACATATCTCTTTTATTTGCAGTCAGTTGGTGGTGAACGTGCTTGGTGAGATATCTAGGCCGATTTACAGTCAGTGCTTTCCTTTCATGCGTGAATGGCAGGCTGCATGGGCACTGAAAGCAACAGCTGTTTTGCTTTCAGGCCCTCGAAATTGTCCCCAATAATAAAGAAGTTCAGCTGCCTGCATACTACAGATCCTGAAAGTGAAAGGCCTTCTGTTTTCTTCCTCTGCCAAGTGTACTGGAGATTTAATTCTAAAGGTTGCAGTGTTGGTTTGGGGGGGATATTATTTGAGTTCTAAGTCTATCTTTTCCTTTACGATTATTTTATAGGAAACTCCTCTACAATTCAAATTAGCTGCACCACAGTGGGCCATCCTGATACAAACTCAATAAGATATGTCATGGGTCATTCAGAAAAGCTTTTTTAAGGGAGCTGTTGTATGCTGGCTGTAGAAATACAATTTTCAATGTCATGTTTTGTGGTTTGGATTTGAATGTCCCATAAGATGCCAATAATATTGTGTGTTTTGTGCTGGTATTTGAGACTTTTGTGGTTGAATACCAGAAAGTTTATTAGCTTATATTTTTCAAAGTAAGGTTTAATGCAACTGTGATCTTCCAGTGACAGGCATAGCTGACACATCTCTATTGGCATTATAACATGTGTGCTTAGGTTTCTGAGAAAAGTCATGTTTTTACTGAAACAGTTGAGTCAAAAGCAGTACATATTATTTTGATTTATTTTTACTTAAGATGATTAATGGGTTGCATTTCAGAAGATGATTCCTTAAATGTTGGATGAACAAACTTCTCCATAAATAACAAAAGGCTGTGGGAGAAACATGTGGATTGTTTTTTTTGTTTGCTGTTTTACTGGTAATTCTGGGAATACTTATGGCTAAAAATCCCATGAATTAAAATCCCATGCTGGGGTGTCCAGACTGGCATACAGATTTGTGCTTTGCAGCACATGTTTCTACAAACAGTGCATCATCTGGTTTGAGCTTTTGTGTTTTATGTCACCTTATGTAATGCATGGATTAGTCTTTCACTATAACTGTGCTGCTCAACTTTTCTAGAGCTCAAGTTTTTTTTTTGCCAAAGATGTATTTAAATACTTTTTTTTCTGAGTGGTTGATTGTATCAGTGCATATAAACAATGTCTGCAATATCTTTAATTATTCTGACATTTCCAACAAAAAGATGACCCAGGAAGAGGTGTAGTGAATGGTCTGCTGTTACCCTCTAAGACTTGTCCTAAGAGCGCTTAGTAGGGATCAGTTCAGGAGATCCTGCTGGAATGCTGTCCTTCCGATGGCTTCTTGTCTAAGGGGCAGTTGTGATCACTGCAGATTATACTGTAAATGGGCTGAGTGCAGCATCAGACAGTCTCACAGCTGGATGACAGGCGTGATTTCTGTTATGAACATCCAGAGCCCCAGAGTTGAACCCACGCCTGAACCCCCCGATCACGGAGCTTAGCCTGAGCCCAGGTATAGTACATGCCTTTACTGGTTACTAGGCTAGGTTTAATGTTAATTCCAACCACCTGGCAGTCTCTAACCCAAACCTTATAGTTTTTCTAAATTTAGGGTATTAGTCAAAATGTTATTCCAGTTAATTTTAACAGCAACCAGGCATGGCTTTGGGATGAACTTGATCATCATTCCTGACTGCAGCCCAGTTGTAACTCTCTACATAGCTTCCCCTTCTGAATCTCGGCCCTGACCTCTTTAGTGATACAGCAGTTCCAGCCTCATGGAGGCAAGAATGCCCTGTCTGGTGAATTCGTGATCCTTCATTCCCAGGCGGTATGTGATTCTAAAGCTATGTTGTGGCTGATCCTCCTTAATGTCCGCCGAGTTCTACTGGGTGTGTATCAGAAGTCACACTCACTAAAGCGTCTCCAGACATTAGCTTTCCTGTCTGTAAAATCGAGCTGGGGGTTGGATTTGTCATTTGCCTTTCATTCAGTGCTGCTTCATGTGTCCAACTCTGCATGTCAAATGTACATGAATCATGTCCCTTCTGGACAGTGCGACAGAGACACCTGTGAACCGTCTTTGCAGATATTGTCACCCTTCATTATGACATTTCTAAAGTTATTTCCTAACTGGCAAGTATTCACAAAAGGTAGCTGACGTGACTTGCCTAAATATGGCAATCTTCCAGAGGGGTTGTGACTGTTGTGTGCCCCTCTGTTGTGCTGTGGAGAGAGATAGCAGCCCATCCTGAGGCAGCAGGACTCTTCAGGGTGTCCTTATCCATGAAGAAGCTCAGCTCTTGCAACAGCATGCTGTGTCTGATTAGTGGGTATTACAGGCGTTGTCCAAATGTCATTGTTGTCATGTGGCAGATGTGTGATAGCGATCCAGAGAAATGGACTTGCTCATGACTTTGAATTTTCAAAACGTTTTTTTTTGGAGTGGGGGTCTTTCTTTCAATATTAGTGTCTACAGTAATGAACAATTCACAACAATTTGTCTTAATGTGTTGTGTGTGATTTCACACAGGTTAAACTGCGTATGAGTGTGCCTGACATTGAGTATAAGAAATATAGTGCAGTATAAAACCCAGATATATTTTTAAGATCAAGGAATGGCATGAATTGGGAAGACTGAAGTCCAGAAAATAAAAAAAGGTGAAATAAATTTCAGATAAAAAACTGTTTATCACAGCAGCATCTGCCTTTAATTAGGTAACCTAAAAAATTCCCTGGTCAAGCACATATGGTGAGTTGATATATTGTGTACAGGAAAGAAATGTTAATGTTTTGTATTCTGTCTAGCAACTGCTAGGGTTGTGTTACAAAGTTCCTGAGAGGCCTAATACTGTCTAATCCACTAATGTTATCAGAAAACCGCACATTAATCACAGTTAATCCACATTATTGACTCGTGGGCCCTAAAAAATGATTTAGTGCTTAAGCTTGTTGTGAACTTGTGGTAACTCTGGTAAAATATAAAAAGAGAGAGGACTGCAATTCGATGATCAGGAGATTAGCTGTTCTTTCTGGGTTTCCGAATTCAGGTTATTGAAAAACATTTTTTTTTTTAAAAACTAGGCTTGGCAATTTTTTTTTTTTACACCCACCCAATTTTGGGAATCGCCAAACTCACCGTTTTTTTAAAATATCAGCTATAATACCCGAGTCCATCATGGGGGGAGGGTACGAGGACAGCTGAGAAACCCCTGATAGACTTATTCCCACCCTGCCCTGCTTTGAAATTCCAATTTAAGGTTAATGTGTGCACAGGCAGGCAACTTTACTGGATGTGCCGCTCAGAGGCCTCCATTTCTTAAGATTCCAGGTTTTTAAGCTCTTCTAAATCAAGTTTTTATTGTTTTTTTTTCTTATAACATTTCACATGATGAATATAGGTCAGCTGTCAGTTTTCACACTTGTCTGTGCGCCGCGGTTATGCACTGTGATAGGGACGATAAGGTTGTTATAACTTAAAACAGATCGTCCAGGATTGTTTTGAAACATTTCAGTCTTGCAAATAAAAATGTAAACAGATGTAAATGTTTATAAAGTGAGAAAATGCGATGCAATTCAACGTATGCCCTGTAATTGTCATGAATAACTACATTGCATTTCTATTTATGTGTTAAAGTTTGTTTTCAATTTGCCTGATTGTTTTTTGCTTTGTAGGGGAGACTGTGGAAGAACAGAAGCAGAAAACCCAAAGCAAGAATACTGTTCCAGAAGGAGTAAAAGTTTTTGTAGAGCCTTCATGGGTATGATTTGTCTTTAATTAATGCCTCCTATTAGCTGTATAATAGGAATATGATATTCAACAAAAAAGATAAACTGAATTTTAAATACAGAATGACAAAATACAGTTATTTTTTAGGTTGAATAGGAAGTACCTGCATTTGCATGCTGAGTTTGACTTCTTTTTAGTGCTGATAATCATTTAAGTGCATGAGCTTAAATAGGTGTGAAGCCTATGGATGAGACACTTGAAGTGATGAATTGTATTAATGATAAAGATTTAAGGGTAGCACGGTGGCACAGTGCGTAGCATTGAGCCTCGTAGTGTTGGGGAGCTGGGATCAATTTCAGACTCTCTAGATGAGAGTCAGAATAGTCAAATACTGAACCTTCCTGTTCATTCTTCTACTGTTATGCCCCAAGCTCTGGAACTCTCTGCCTAAGGATATCAGAGAGTCACCTTCTCTAAACTTGCCTTTACTTTACTGGTTCCATTCTTCACCCCTCTGCTTTTCCTCGTACCACCATCCATGGTCTCCTCTCTATATTGTAATTGTGTTTTATCTTGTGTTTTCTTTTTATTGTTGTTCTCATACTGTAAAGCGCTTTGAGAAGCCACGTTTAAAGGTGCTATATGAAATAAAGTTTATTATTATTATTATTATTATTCTTCCAGAACAGGACCTTCAAACACCCATCTGCTCAACTATACAACTGAATTACCAATTAGGCGAACAGATAGGTGGGAGCAGCCAATGGAACATATTGTTAGTGTGTAGCTGACGCAAGCAGTAGAGAAAGGAATTTGAAGGAGACGGTATCTCTGTGCTTGCAGAACTGACTGACATGCGTCTCAGTGCACAGGTGTCACCGACTATATCCTCTGCATCACCACTCCTGGTGATGACCAGTTAACTGTTCACTTTAAGGAGGGTATTCTGCCCATTTACGTCATGTGGTTTTTATTAGTTTATTGAGCCAAAGGTCTCGTCCAACTACATCTTGAAAGCAGCCAGGATATCACGCATTGTGTCACTATTTTCTTATAACAAAATAGAAAAATTTTAAATGTGTTTACTTCATGTTGTCCAAATAACTAGACTGAAAGATGTCCGAATCAGAATTCTGGCACATTTTATTTTTCGAATTACAGTTATAATGAAAATGCAGACTGGGTCAGGTTTTTGTCAAGAAACTTGTCTGAGTAGGTATTTGATATAGTCTAAACCCAAAACTCAAGTTCAGAGCATGAGGAGTGAATTTAAAGGTGGGTTACGTTGTACTGCTTTTCTGTTTAAGAAAATGAATGCTAAAATGTTTGCTTCTCCTTGGAAGAAACTGTAGACTCACTAGAGTTTCACATCTACCCATTTCCTAACTTTTATTGAATGCAGGGTCACATAGGAGCCAGAGCCTGTCCCAGCAAGCAATGGGCACAAGGCCGGATACACCCTGGATGGGACACCAGTCCATCGCAGGGCACACACAGACACAGAAACACACTCCAGGATCAGTTCTCCCAAAAGCCCATTAACCTAGCAGTATGTCTTTGGAATGTAGGAGGAAACACACGTGAACAAAGGGAGAACATACAAACTTCATAACATACAGATAGATTATTTATGGTTTTGCATTGTGCCCTTTTTTCAGTATGATTTTAAAGTGTTTTGAGTAAGAGGGCCAAATTCATTAATATATTAATATGAAACATTTTTTTAATATTAGCTATTTTTATAGATTTAATTAAAAAAGTGACATAGTAATTCTTATTTTATGGATCAGAATGAATACTTGTTGAGAATGGTCTACGTGCTGTTTTCTTTAGTGCAATATTGACGGAATCCATTTGATTTTTCTTTTATTAAATCATGTGGTTAGAACAGGAATGTCCAGAATCAAATGGCTTTTAAATTGTAAAATATTGCCGTGGCAGTTGTACGTTTTTTCCATTAAGATGTTTGAAATTATTCTTCGAGCAAAATGGTGCTTCAAGGCAGTCCTGTTTTCAATCTAATAATGCAATAGTTCAGATTAAATTTAGTATCGCTTTTTCGCTTACGAATTCCAGGGGTAAAATAAAAAAACAAGGGTTCTGCAACTATCTTTGCATTCACAAGCACAGTGTCAGGAGCTATAATATAACAGGTTGAAAAACAATACATTTAATTCCTATTAAGTGAAGTAAAGGGGAATAAGCACTGGATTATACTGTTGATTATAATAATCCAGCAGAGATTTTAGAAAGGCTATGCTTTAATTAAGGTTTCATATCCCTTTCCATAAGGTTAACTTAATATTATCCTGAGTGGGGCCAAACAAGCACATAAAAATCAGAAATGAGAAATATACATTTGTTCTTACAGATCTTGCAGATGAGATTCTTATGTGTTTTTATTTCATTCCTTAAGTGTTTAGAGACATGATTACTGATTCATTCTCCTGTTTTGTGTGATGTAGTGTTTGCTGTTCAAAAATAATCTGAAGACGCACTATGAGGAATTCGGATGGTAGTGAAAAGCTCGACTCTGACTTCAGACTATCTTACTGATGAGTCTCAGGTTGACTTATACTTATGAATCTGTGGCACTGCCATGTATTATAAACAGTACTACTCCATACATTACACCAGAGGATATATTTTCTGGTATTAAAAAAACACCCTTTTCACCAAGTGTTTAAAATAAGTAAAGCAGTAGAAAGACCAGCCCCTTTACCAATTTACCAATTACCATTTTTAATTAATATAAAGATTTGATTGTATCCGCTAATGGTTTCTGACAAAAGTTGACGTGCTTGGCATGTTTGTCTTTTTCCTCTATGTATTTTCTGTGATTTTCTATCCTTCTGAAAAAGGGATACCGAACACAGATACCTTAGTGGCATTTTTGATTGGAATTTTAAGAAAGGTGAGAAAACGGTTTCCAGTTAAAAAGCTGGTTCCTGAATATTTTACAAATTAATCCTGTAAGCAAAATGTTTGTGTTTCTGTTGTGAATTGGCTTCATTTCTGTATGTAGCATTATGCAATACACTTTTGATGCGTCTTGCACTGTTAAACATGTGGTTCTTGACACGCAATGCTGCGCAGGTGTTCAAAACAGAAGCAAACGGTCACAACTGTAACAAAATAGTTGACTTTAAGTGCAGAAATTCACCTTGTGTTTGAATGTGCTGTCTCTGAAAATACAGTAAAAGTACTTGTAGGGGTGTGTTCACAATAACTCAAAATATATCTTTTTATTTGTGGAAAATCTTAAAATGTAAATGTGACATTTTACAAATTAATTTCTCACTCGTGAAAATGGCAAGAGTTTGTCAACTGCAGTAAATTAAATGCCATTCACAATATAATTTATCCTCTTTTTCAAAAAACGAATGTAAAAAATAACTAGACATTGGAAGTGTTAAAGATACTTGCTAATACCAGCTGAACGTATTTTGGTTACTTACGTTCCTTATTCTGAAAGGATAAGATTGATAGTTTTAGGTTTTAACTTTACAAAAAAATTATTGAATAATTTTAAACTTTATCTTGGGCTTATTTTATTAATAGCCGGATCCTAGAACATAGTCTATAATTGCATAAAAACTGACATGCCACTGAAGAGAAAAACAAGTAATTGAGAATCTAAAATAGCATATAATCCAAAAGCTTATAATTAAAATGACATCTCCCTACGTAAACTATTGTGTATTACCCATGGCAACATGTAGGGAAGGTTTAGAATAATGATTTTCTTGCAGTTGTTGAAAACATATCATTTTAATGCTTTATGTACATTATGTATACAACTACATACATTTTAAAAGGCCCAAAGTAGTTTAATGTAAGACCTTTATCTGTGTTGGTGCACCCTTCCAGTTAAATCCCATAAATAAATCATCTGTAGGAGCCATTGATTTGTTGTGTGTGTATAATATAAGGAGGGCTCTGTACATCCCTGAGATGTGCTCATTAGGTATAAATAATGCAGGGCTAAACTTGATAGCTTTGGAGGTCATTTCACAGTTGCCTCCTGACCTTTGTTTAATAGCTGTTTTTGGAAATCACAACTAATTCACAGTCAACCCTACTGTAGGGAGCCCAGTTGTAACAGTAGAAATGAGCAAATAAGGGTTATTTTATTTGTGCTTTCAAGTATAAGTGGTACCCTGGAAAGGTCAGGTGTTAATAACTGGTTGTCTCAAGATGCCATTTTTTAAATAAATGGAGTGTGTATTATTGTAAGGCTTGTTTTTGTTTCTTGGCTCTCTTCCATGCTGTATTGCACCTGTCTTAAAGGGCCAGCAACAGTATTTATTATGAGTACAGAAATGAGTGTAGTATCTGTTTTGGTGCTGATGTTTACCCCACATGTCTCATAGTCTTTTTTTTAAATAATGGCATTTGATGTTTACATCCCCAGACACTATAGGCTAAGAAGGCTAAGGGAATTGTGACCCTACCTTTCTTCTTGTTCTCTTGTTGCACGTGACAAGTGAAATGTGAGTTGGGCCAGTGAAATAACACACTGTGTTTTCTGCCTTACCCAAGCAATCATATCTAGAGAAAGCCTGTACCCTGTTCAATATTCGTGCAGTTAGACAACAGGATTTTTTTAGTATTAAGAAAAAGCTTTATAAGGTGTAACTGCATGTCTGAAAATGACTAAATAATCTTTCTAATGAAAAGCTAATATTTAATCTGAAATTTTCATTATTTGTATAATGAAATTTCATATGGCATCAATAAAATGGATGGAAGTGTTTTTCTGCACACATTGAAGAGGTTTATAAACAAGAATGACATATAACTATCATTTCTAATAAGAGAATTGCGGTTCTAGAGCAATACTGTTAGATTTTGCAAATCTTTTGCAAATACTTAGAGTAAGTTCTATTTATGAGACTGAGATGCTTAAAAAATGACAATATTTAAATTGTTTTTAAAAACAAATATTGAGTAAAGGAGATTGATTTTTTTTTTCAGAAACAAGCAATTGTACAGTATTGCAGACAGTAGAGTTTTCCTTAGGATTTCTCTCACATAGTGCTGGTAGACCAGTAAGCGGTGCTATTCCCTGTAGACCTCAATTTCTAAACCAATACTGCTGTACAGTGACAGGGGACATTGTGCTATAAGAGGTACTGTCCTTCGGATTAGACATTAAACCAGAATGTTTCATAAATCATGATCTACTGACCATGAAGCCCTGGCAAGTCAGCACTTCAAAAATAAGGCCTTATCAGGTGCACAAGCTAATGGAAGTTTCAAGGCAAAATTGCACAACTGGAAAAGAACATGCATTCATCAAGTTCATCAACAAGAAAGGGGGAGGGGGGTAATAGTTTAAAAATGAATTCCTTTTTATTTCATGACAGCCATATACTAATTACTACTACTTCTAATTTATTTGACTCATGCTTTCGTTTAAAACAACGTACATTTGCACCCCGTAAACTGTCCAGCTAGGTCTTTTAACAGGGGGGTTATTCTGGCCAAACTGCCACACTCACAGGTCAGGCAGCAGTGTCTCATCTTTGATTTGAACCCACAACCAGCTAAGGGTCCAGACATCCTAACCACTGCTCCACGCTACCGTCAACAGCAGATGAAATATCATCCAGCTAACCTGTGTCTGCAGATATGGTCACTTAGAAGTTGTTGCACGCAAAATTCTGTTGATTTATGTATTCTGTTAGTGAAAGCTCCGATAGCCCCATACACTGTAGCTTCGTAATAAATGGGCTGAGATGTTTGCGTTATGAATTTTATTTTTGTATTACAGCCAAGGCTGTTACACGGATGCTGTACTGCCGCACATACGGTGTGAGTGCTGGAACTCACTGGGGTGTGCAGATTGATGAGGGGCTCTGCCGGTGTAAGGAGAGGGTGGTGAAGAGACATTTTGTCAGAATATATCACAGTGCGTAGAAACAGTCATGCTACACTGAGGAATAAAGCTGACAGCCGCAGTGCAGCTGTTCAATAACTCAATCATTAGCCTTGATGACTCTTGGCTATTTCAGATAACGAGTAATTAGTTATATATTTTCCAATTGGTGATTTCATGCATCAATGACCGAGCGTTACTACGCACAACTATATTTTTAAACAATTTGCAATTAAATCAGGTATTTCTAGCATGTAGTACTGAAAAATCTTTGTAATACTTACCTTTTGTATTTTAGGCAATACGTGTGTGTGGAGTGGTATAATTGTATTTCATGTAACTTCAGTACAAATTTGTGTAACAGAGACTATGCAAAAATATTTGTAGATTTCCTTATTTTCATAAATAGAAGTAATAAAATCAAAAGTTGTCTGGTTTGTGTTTCATAGTACATTCAGAAGAGGTCATTGGGCTTTGAGAGTTTTAGAGTTCTTTTTAATAATTCAAGTCCAAAGCCTTTTTAAGTTTGTACTGATTTCTACAGATGGCGATTCTACTGGAACGACGGAACTGAAGTGCCTTACTCAAGATACATCACTGCTCAAGCTCAGATTTGGTTTCCAACACTCCGGGTCTTATTGCATTTACAGGAAGTAAGAGAATACTCACGGATTAAAAAAATCCATGGAGCTGTGCTTTCACAAGTGCCCACTTCAGAATGGCTGGAAATGAGAGGCTGCCATACGGCCCATCCTGGTGCTTAGTAGTTTAGCGTCTAAGGGAATCTAATGTTAGAGTAGGACGGTGCTGCAGCATTTAGCATTGCTGCCTTGCAGTGCTGGGGCCTATGGTTCAATTCCGGACCTGGGGCGCTATCTGAGTTGACATGTTCTCCCTGCTTTCACCAGGTACTCTGGTTTCCTCCTATAGTCCAAAGGCAGACTAGTAGATTCACTGGGCTCTGCGAAAACTGGCCCTGGTGCGAGTGTGTGCGTGTTGTGTGTGTGCCCTGTGATGTACTGATGTCCCATCCAGAGTGTATTGCACCTTGCCCATGGTTCTTGCTGGGCTGCTCCCCCGTGACCCTGTGTTGCTTAAAGCAGGTAGAAAATAGATGGAATCTAAAGTATCATCCATCTGCTTTTTTGAAGGATCCCAGATATTTGGCCTCAGCCACCTGGGTGTTACATCTACCCTCTCCTTGTATAAAGAAGTGTTTCCTATTTTCAGTCCTAAATGAATTTCTTTCTAGTTTCCATTTGTGTCCCTATGTCCTTGTTTCACTACTGAGCGTGAAACAGTTCCCTGGTTTGACCCTAGCGATGCCTCTTAGGATTTTAAACACTTGAATCAAATCTCCGCTCACTCTCATTTGTTCAGCTCTGAAAGACGATTTATCTCTTCTAACCCGCCTATATGTGAGAGAACTGAGACCAGGAATAATTTTTGTTGCTCCTCTTTGAACGTATTCAGGCTGTGACAGAACAAGTAGGCCTACAGGTTAATTACTTGCAAAACAGTAGAAAGGTGAGGTGAAACACAATGCTTCTGCTTTGAACCTCCTTGCGGTGGGTGAGGAAGGAGGGAGAGAACAGGAATATGAGGTTAAGAGAAGAAAAAGAAGAATAATGAGAGAATTGATGGAGGTGAGCAAGTCAGTCCGGAGATACGGAAATCTGGGAGATGAACTACAGGAAAGGTGTGGAAGAGTAAAAGTCCAAAAATGAATGGAGAGCTTTAGAAAGACAGACATAAACTAACCGTTGAACACTGGGAGAAGGTATGTCCCGTTTTAAGGATAATTTGTTTTCGTTTTTTCTGGAGTAGGAGTTTTTGAATCCCTGTGAAGGGACAAACAGAAGGGCCAGTGTAATCATGGCCAGTAGAGATGCAACAGTGATATATTGGCTTGGAGAGACTTTTGGTTCCCGCCACTGTGATATCTTCCTTGTAATGGTCAGCCAGCGTTTAATCACAGGGCACCCTGTGCAAAACGTAGAATAAATGAGATGGCTAGACTCACATGATACCCTTCAGGTGATCTCAAAATGTGTATGTGGGGCCCCTGAATATACAGTATACTGTATTTACAGATGGTGCAGTTTCTGCTGTGAGACAAATTGCGTGGCGTAGATGGGGACTGTGGGTAGTTAAGGGGGCTGTGGACATCTGTGTGGATTAGGTGATGGAAGTGGCAAGAGAAGATTGGTGGCTCTGAAAACAAGGTTCCAGATGAGTGGCCCTCCTGTAAAATGGAGGGTTTGTTTGACCTTGGGAATATAAAGGGCGTTGTGGTGGAAAAGAAGGACAAGTGAGATGTGGTTTTCCGTGTGGGAATTCCTCATGGGGTTGATTGCCTTGGGTTGTCCGCGTTCCCACTCCCCTCCCACATTTCCCCTGGATTTGGTCTCCCAACAAGTTCAGATCTTTGCCCCCTCTTTTTACCCCTCCATATTTAGTCTTATGGGGACAGCGTAGTGTGTAGTGGCTTAGTCTCTGGATTCACAACCGGCTGGTTGTGGGGTTTGAGTCCTCGTTGCAGACAGTGCTGCTGTACCTTGAGTGAGGTACTTAAACCCCAGTTGCTCCAGTCCAGCCAGCTGGATGAATGGGTACTAGAGTTTGCTGGGTGCAGGTTCTGCTGTGGACTGGAGTCTCGTCTGGAGAGGAGGTGGAAACCAGGAAAATCTCTGGACCGATGAGCCATTGTGTGTGGCCCCAATGGAAATACCTCTCCCTGTATCCATTCTCACATTATCTTTTTTTCTGTCTTTTTTTACCTTCATAGTTTCATCTTCTCTCATTTCACTTATTTCTCCTCAACTTCTGAAGAGGTTCCAGTGCTGAAATGTTTTTTTTTTAATTCTACTTTTCAGCATGGAATTAAGTTTTGCTTGTCCTCTGTAGCTTGCACGTTAACACCCCCCTGTAATAGGGATTAGATATCAGCATTTGCTTTACAGCTCTGCATAATGGATATTGAAATTTGTGTTTTAAACACTTAGTTCACATATGTATATGCCTGTTGTATCTACACACCTTATATTTCACCTCAGTTGTAAGTAATGGGACCACATCAGCTTACTCTTCATCAATGTGTGTGTGTCGGATATTTAAGAGCTATTGGGGTGAATTCCACGTGCTGTTATTTTAACTCGGAATTGCATTTTTTTCGCTCCGAATTACATGGCGTTCTTTTTTCTGTCGTCTTTTTAGAAATCCTCCACAGCTCCAGCCCCGCCTGTCGACAGTGCTCAGCTCGCACCGGTGACGAATCAAAGTGTGGAGAGTCCCCCGATGATGCCAGAGCTCCTGGGAGACGTGCCTTTCACCTTGGCTCCCCATCTTCTTGCCCTGCAGACGGGCTTCGCTGATCTTCCAGATGCGCTCTTGTCTCGGGACTTCAATGATAATTTGGCCAGCTTCCGATACGACTTCACTCTGGAAAACTCTGTGCTGTGCGACTCCTAATAATTCAGCAGAACGCAGTTACTTGTCATCTTGTCACTTTTAAATGTTTTTGTTGCAAGTGGCTTAATATTTTTAATTTCTGTGATTAACTGGAAGTTGTATTGACTCGTTTGCAACAATTACAAGCTCTTAGAATGTTTCTTTGAACATAAAAAGTATCAAATTTTAGCTGGTGCAGAGAAAATCCGCGTCTACCACCAGCCACTGGTGAAATTGTTTACACAGTGTCACAGCTACATGTTAAGAGAAGTGTTGCTTTCTTTCAAAAACTGTTCTAAATTTGTTTCTAAAGGAGAATATTGTTTCACTCCTTCTGCTCATCTGATTAGACTGAATGGCATCCTCTTGTTTTTAGCCTGTTTACAGACAGTTTATATAGAACATGGTCCTTTCTATTTAATTGAACTGTGTTTGATAACAAATACTGTACCTTGCAAAGAACATCTGCAGGAGGGGCAACATTTGACTTGATCACACCGAGTTCTCCCTTCAGTTTTCTTTACATTAACGAAAACATCATGAAAAGGGTTCTAGAGAGCATCAGGTTCTCATTCTTGTAAAACTATAAGTAAAGTAAAAAAAAAACATAAAAATCTGCCAGCAGTAAGCAATAAGACAGTGAGGCACTGTCTAAAAACCTTTCACCTTGATAAATTTATCACAGCCCTCAAGCGTTTTGAGATTTGCATTCCGTCTACTCTCTAAATACAGGGCTTATCCATGACCAAATGCAACTTTTGGGATATTAAAGGAATTATTTATCTTTAATTACCTATGAAATACTGTAGTGTTTCCTGAGGACTATAACTGTAACTGCTTGCATAGACCTTTTTCTGATTTATAGACACTTGAAGGCTGCGAGGACTGGCCAGCTCCTAACATGCTTTAGAATACACAAAATAGCTGCTGCTAGCTAATACAAAAATGAGGAGTTAATTAAAACTTAATTTTTAAAAGGTTTGCGATGGATGGATGCACTTTGAACGCACCTTTCTCTGATTTAATGGTCTCATCTGTTTCCAAAAGGGTTTGGTGAATTGACCCCTAATTGTAGCTTGAGTGAGAAAGGGAAATTGCAGGATGATTTAAGGAGCCTGACTGGGCTGAGCTCTGTTATCCTTACACAGCCTTGAGCAGGATCATTTTAGGAGCTGTATAGGGTAAAAAGAAGTCAAAGATGATGATGATCGTGATGATGGAATGACACCTGTTGATTAATATTTCTTCATCTTTTGTGATTTGCAGCACAGGGGGGTGTTTCTCATGTATCCTAAATTGGAGAATGTACAATTAAGGGAAGAAATAAATGAAGGATTCTGCTTAAAATGATCATCATTAAAACATGAAAAGTAGGTACTGTATATCAAGGACACAGGCACATACAAACCTATCTACAAATCAAATGTTTTAACAAAGGCTGCAAATTGTTCACATTCAGAGCTTCACAAGTTTTTAATATGTATTATCTATCATGAAAAATATGCAGTATGATTTGCACAATGAGGATGTATAATACATTTTCTCCTTTTTTTTTGTAGAGTCCAAGCCTTGCATGATTTATAGCTATACACTACATCTGTGGTCTATATTCTGAGTGCAAACATACAGCATGTTAAGTGGAAATATCTATATACATGTTACAATGTCAATGTGTGTTTCTTTTTGCAGTATTGTAGGTGCAAAAATACTTAACGTGGAATTGTAACTGTACCACATGTCTGTGTTAATTTGAAGTAGACTTTGACACCAGGGATAATGGCACAGAAAACTCTCAAAAGCTTTTTTGGGATGGCTCTCTCAGGAATCATTTACACATTCAAGACAACGAAAAGAAATTAAGACTATGTCTTAGCATGAGTTACAACTTTTTTTGAAAAACATTCAGTAGTGCCACCTTTCTTACCATGATCTAGTTTTGAATTAATATTATACATTACTAATATTGGCTTATTATATAAACTGATATTTCCTATCAGTTTATATAATAAGCATTTCTGAGGACAGAAATACAGTATTAATGTTTTGGGAAACATGGTTGTTTTTATTTTTAAAAACATTATGCTGCCCTTGTCTTGTGTATAGACAACCTAAACTGTGTGAATCGTGTTCACATAGTCCTGTGCCTTGTTTGATTAATGATAATATTAAACATGATGTATGAAATTTCTATAAATCTAAAACCGTTACATGTTGCTGTTACAAAAGTTAGAGTTTGTAGACAGACTGGCCTCTGTGGTTTTTTTGCTGCTCAAATTATTTTCCATTTCTGCTTTCCAAGAACTTGTTTTTCTTGCTACTTGAGATTTCATATTGTATCCTTGTTGGAAAGAATCACAGATTTACTAAATGATAAAGCAAACAAGATCCTTACCACCTTTTGCATGTGCTGCACAAATTGTTGTAGAAATGATTAATATTTTTATGTGTCAATAAAGAACTGTTGAAAAACTCTCTTCTTGCTGTTTTCTTGGTGGTTGTGGTATTAACAGAGGTCACTCGCCTTTCTTTCATCAAAATCAGTTTGAAAAGGAATATCCATAATGGAACTGCTTTCAAATGGTAAATGGTAAGGTTGCCGAGTTAACATTAAAAAGTCTGAACTGATATGGTAATACAAGACCGTAGTGTATATAGTGTAATTTAATCATAAAAATATTAAACGGCATATTTTAAGTTTCACAACCCTGCTTCTTGCACATTCCATGGAGAAACTAAAGAACGTGATTTTCTGCAGCTCTTGTTGCAGGAACAAAAAGCTGGCCTGGCCGCAAGCAGGAATAAGTAGAGATTAATTCTGTGCTGAAAAGTTAAAAGAAGAAACTCAATCTTTTGATCACGGAGCCTTCTTTGGGAGTGAAATCTCCAATTGTCCTTGTTTAGCTGAGCAGATGTGCAAAACTCAAATTAGAGTTTCCTTAAATTTGCTGCCCTACTGTTGTACAGCCTGTATTCAGAGCATGTGAATTCGCATCAATGGCTCTCTGTGGTTCCAGGATATTCAGGCGAATTTAATGTACCACGGGTGCAACTTTAACACGGTTTGGGAAAAGTATCATGCAAAACCCAGACAAAGAAAAAAAAAACATTTTTAAGGCTTTCCTCTGAACAACTACACTTACCAAATAAATCCTAGCTCCACCCTTTTCTGAGGTACAGTCCTCTATAACGTTAAATATCACGAACAGTGAAGCTAAATACAGGATAAGGCGGTAAAGTAGTAAAGTGTCACATAAGGTAAAACATAGCTCAGGTTTGTAATGTTATTATTATCCTGTTTAGAATGAAACTCGAGCTACTGTACATTCAATTTCCAGTCTCCAACATCTAAGACACGGTATTGAACGTAATTTCGAGACACGAAGTCGCATCACGAATGAAAATTAGGCCGTGTGACATCATTAATACTATTTACTACGCAGATCTGTAATCGTGCTGGTCGGGGTTGGGTTCCGAGCACAACCTGTCATCCTCGATCCGCTGTTACGCGTTATTATTGTGAACACGCCTAGTTGTAATCGCCTATTGATCCGTATTACAAATCTCATTTATGTCGCAGGTCCGACTTTAATTAAATGCCCAAAGCAATAAACGTGGACTAATCCCATCCCACTCAACCTCTTAATCCCCGGCAGCATTACCGATTTTTTTTTTGTACGCACGCCGTACTATGGTGCAGCCTGCTTTACAAACGCGATCTGTCAATTTGTATCCCCCCCCCCAGCCAATTGGCGTCTTTAGCATCGTCTGTGTTCCTCCTCGCCGAGACCTCAATGAACTTATTGGTTATGTGCAGCGTCAGTGCGGTTCTGCAGACCTATGGTTGCGCGCACGCCGTGCCGTGCGCCGCAAATCAGGCGGCCGGAGCCGGCGGGTGCAACCCGCCCCCGTGTGGCTGGGGCTCCCGGGGCCGTCCGCCGCTGTCAGTCGGAGTCAAGACCGGGGAAGGTGCGGGTCTGCGCGGACGGGCGGCCGGCTAAGAGGCACACTGCCCCTCCAGTTTCAGCCGGGGCTGGTATCCATTTCGACTGCCCCCCTCCCCGCGCCCCCTGCCCCCCGTCCTCTTAAATGACCGCAAGCGGGCGAGCCCCCTGAAAGCAAGGAAAAGAAAATACAAACAAACAAAAAAAGGAGATGTTAGAGCCACTTCGGTCTGTGCGAGGGCCATCCGAACATTTCTGAATGTAGGTACGGTACATATAAAAAAAAAAGGTGGTGGGGGGGGGGGGGGCGGCTCTCTTTCAACTGTTATTTATCACTGCACGGTTTCCAAAAGAAGTGAGATACCAGTCGCAAGCCATCGGGGTTTTTGTTTTCTCTTTTATTTCCAGGGCTGTGAGACCGATGCCTGCCAGTTAGCCGGACTGCGATAGCGAGAGTGTCTTGCACGGTCAGCGGGCATGTCCGCGTCAGCTACAAACCCGTCTCACCAGCAGCAGCAGCAGCAGAGAATGAGACGCGGCAATGCGGCGTCCCCCACCTCCGCCAACAACAGCAGTAGCAGCAGCAACGGCAGCACCCGGCTGCAGCCCATCCGCGCCACCGTGCCCTACCAGCTGCTGCGGGCGAACCAGCAGAGCCCGACCCGCTCCCCCTCCTCCTTTTCGGTGGGCAGCAACACGGGACCGGCGTCCTCCCGCTGCCCCAGCCCGCCCAGCCCGACGCCGCTGCTCTCCAACCCGGGGGCCGGCGGCTCCGCGGAGGGCAGGCTGATCGGGAGGCACCGGCGGTCCCCCGACAGCAAGAGCTCGCCCGAGAGGAGCCCGAACTCGCCCGTCTACAGAGGTAAAAAAAACAAAACAAAACAACAAAATAAATAAAAATAAACTGGCGTGCCATCTCCTCCTCCTCCTCCTCCCCCCCTCCTTCTTCGCCATCATTTATCAGAATTAAAGCCAATCCCGTGACGGAGGCGGATTGTATCGATGCTTGCCGAATTGAAATTTGTTTTTCGGTTTTTAGCGAGTCTAACGAATGCAAGAAAAAAAAAACGACGACGACAACAACACAAGAGTATTGCCGGGGATTTATGTGGTGGCTAATGCGGCTCTCGTCGGCTCACTGTGTCACCTGCACACAGCTGTGTGTTTGCTAGTGTCCTGCGTGGGCTGGCGTGGCCGGTGCCCGAGGAGACGGCGCCGGCGACCTTGGCATTGGGTATTGATCCTCCGGAGGATGACTTGAGCTTTCTTGTGCTCCGGCGCTGGTGAGGCAGGTCACGCCGTGGTTTTAGAAAACAGAAACTCTCACGGATGTTTTTTTGTATCTCTCCCTCTCCCCCGACTCGTACGCTAGGGTCGGTGCGACAGTAGTACGGTCACGCCAGAAAACGTCGCTTTTGCATTTTCGTGGGTAAGCGCAGGTATTGGGGGGGGCCTTATTCGGGGTCCGCCGTAATCACGGGGTACTGGGCGCTGCACCGATGTCGGCAGGTTGAGCAGACGAAAGCGTTGCATTGTTCACCTGGGACCTATCTGTGACATCTGTGAAGCCTAGAGGAGGCACGGTTATTTTCCCGTAAAAAAATAACAAGCAGTGTAACTTAGCCACTGAATATATAGAGATACATGCAGCCATTTAGCTTTCGCCTGTATGCATACGGCATATCTGTGGGTAATGATTTATAATGGATTACGTAGTGTGATATTTCACAAATGTAGAAATACGTATACAGTATCGGGATTGGATGTTGGAAATCTCTGTCCGGGAGATATTGACTAGATATTGAAAGGCGATCTGAAATCTGTCGTGAGGAAAGCTGTAGCCATCTAAATACTGCAGGCAAGGTTCACCCCTGAACGTCAGTGTAGGAGGTCCAGGAGAATCCCAGGATTTGGAAGGTGATCTGCAACTGGATTCTGAGTGAGAAATCCCCCACAGCATGAAGTATGTTACACTGTGGTATTCACTGTGTCAACTCAAACCTGCACCAGGACAGGCTGAATGTGTTGCTATCGGTAGCTCAACTATTGATGAGCTGTTGGGTATAGTTCCCTGGTACTCCTGGTTTAATGTGTGGTTGATATATTTAATGGTGCAGGAAGAGCAAAAAGTGGGATTTGAAGCTTGTAAACATCTGATAACACAAAAGTTGATTATCCGCTGTGGTGTTTTCCAGTTTGGTTTTGGATCCACACTGTGGCATTGAAGTGATCTGTACAAGAAGGATGTCTGTGAAGGCAGTGGTGGGGTTTGTCGGCACTGTATGCCCTCTCCGCATTGCTGCAGATTCGGTCTGTGGGTCCCGGGTCGCACTGCGGCATTCTTGACGTCAGAGATCCGCCCGTATCGAAAAAATATTTAATGGTGGCGCTGGCGGTTACCTTCTCCATACTAGGCAACGCCAATGTCCGTGTGCTGCAGGAATCTCAGATCCACGATTTTGTGGGGTGACAATAAGATGCCTAACATTCTTTGGCTGGCCCATGACCTCTACCCTATTGAAGCATTTCTGGATGTGTCCGGGTCCTGACTGCCTTCTACATACGAACAATCCTGATGTCCAGCAGGGGTAGAGGACCCCAGATGTGTCACAGGGGAAGCCCACTCCAAAGACATTTATCAAAAATACATTTAAGCCCCTAATTCATCTCTTGGTCCTCGAAAATGTGTTCAGGAAGTGTATGCTCATTATGATTCTATGTTGTCTGAGAAAAAACTTTTTAAAAGATAGTTGCAAAGCTTATTTAAACACCTGCTTTTTTATTGCTCAGTGTGAGGAATTTTGATGTTATTTTAGCCCTGTAACAAGACTAGTTGAAGGCACTGTGCCTTCATGAGCACACGTTGGGGGTAACAGAGCTCTTTCCTTGCACCCTGACCTTAGGATCCTGCCAAACCGGCATCTTCACAAAGGGTTCTGAGCTTTTATTAAATTTAATTTGATTTATTTCATTAACCTCTCCCTCCCTAGGAATAAAAACACATGGGGAAAAATAGTTAACCATCACAAGTTTGATTTGATCATCATAAAGTATTTTGTGATGAATTTCCTTGTTGTGCCAATACTGGTAGTAGACAAAAAAAAACACAGGTAAATGATGGATACCACAATATTGAAAACAAGGGCTTCTGCTTGGGTGTGACTGATTCATTAAGTAAGCAAATAACATTCCAGCGTGCTTAGGGCCATGTATATGCATTCTGGACAGGCCTTATGCAAGAGGGGACTTTGTAAGACTCTGTAGCTTTGAAAGAGGGGTGATTGTTGGGGTGCATTTAGCAAGAGCTTTGCTGATGTTTCAGGGTCGTGATGTGTTCATTCCAAGTGTGAGGCAAAACAAGCGAGGAAGTACAGATCAATGGACGGCAAATATCAAATATCTGGGGCGCTGGCGTCGGGTTTCACCAGAGATGGACCAGTGAGAACTCCACACAGCAGGCTTCAGGAGTCGGACTGCATTGTACAAACTGCTCATCACAGGTGGCCGTTCACATGTGCGTGGTGCAAAGAGCACAGGGAATAGACTACTGAGCAGTGGAGAAATGTGATCTGGTCAGGTTAGATCCTCAACAGACAGATGAGTACACGTGTGACAGTACCTTGAACAACTCCACAGCTTCCAGTGAAGGGTTCTGGAATGTTGTGGGCTGCATTGTCCTGGTGTACTTTGAGTGCACTCATGTCCTTAGTTGCCAGTTACAACTTAAAGGTACCAGTCATCTTTACTCCATGTTGCAGTGTTTCCTTCCTGCCGAGTGGATCACAAAGCGTCCATCCACAGGGCATGTGTGGTCGCACAGTAGTTTGACGATTGTGGTGCTAATGTCATCCATGTGCCAGTGCCTTCTTGGTAACAAGATCTGAACCCAACTGAGTGTTTACGGGGAGTTCTGGAACCATTCTGGATGGTATTTTCCATCTCCATCCATCTGATGTGAGCTGATTGACTTTCTTGTGGGTGAAAGGTGCCTGTTTTCTCCTCCAGCTGCCGAATTGCAGACGCTGGTAGACTCTATGCCACCGCACATACAGGTATTGGCTGTGCCTGGTAGCCCAGTGCTCTGACAAGTGACTTGACTTAGTGTTTCTATTTTTGTCCACTACCCATTGATCAAGGGCATAAAGATGATGAAATTTGTGATTTATATATATGCTGTTTATGGTACAGGACATCGTAAAAAGAAAATATAGAAAATATGCCAAATACTAAAAACAAAATCAATCTCTCCAATTTTATATGCAGCGGTTACATATAGACCTTAAGTCATAAAGACCATACTCATTTAGCAACCCAGTGAGTAGTGTGGACTGAGTGGTCTCCTTTTGTTTGTAAGTTTTCTTATGTTTTGTTTTTGAAGTGATTTAACTGTTAAATGCGTATCCATGTTTAATTTAAGTTGTAATGAGGAACTAATGGGATTTCATTTAGCACCGAGGTCAGGAAGCACATCTTTACACAAAGAGTTGTGGGTGTTGGGGCTGAAAGGTGCAGACCCAAACTTGATGAGAGCAGCCAGCTCACTGAGCTGCTCCCAGACAAAGCCTGAAGGATGAAATGTTCTCCGCTCATTTGTAGATTTTCTGATGTCATGTTCCTACAGTAAAGGAAATACATATTTATAGTTTTGTAAGTGGGAATCCTGTAATGTATCAGCTTCCTTTTATAAATAGATGTAGATGCTAACTTGTGCCTATTATTGTATGTACTTTTAGCTGTAATAGTGCTAATTGTATTTTTAGCACATTGTGCTGATGCAGTACAATGTAAAGGGTAGCTCAGTACTTGTGAATGTACAGTTTTATTTAGCTTGGAGTGTTGTCCTTGTTGGGTTTTCACCAGTCTTATGCTTTGCCATTATAGGAATCAAAGTTAATGACTTACTACCTTTCTGATGTTTAAAAATTGAGCCTTCTGGTCCTGAAGAAAGTTGCATCTCAAAGCTTTGGGAAAATCTTTAAAAAGTGCAGCACACAATGCAAGACCTACTTATTGTTAGGGCAGAGTAAACGTAGAAAAGTTTAAAAAAATGCAAACACTAAGCCAGTAGCATGGCTTAAAAAGCTTACAGCTAAGCAACCAAATTCTCTTCCTGCTCAATTGAGGCATCCAATGTCTCATGTAGAACGCTTATAAATCTGGATTGTGCAATAGTGAATATAAGAATGTTTTGACACTTAAACCCAGCACCAGCTCCACAGTATTAGGCATGAATTTATTATCCTAATCATATTAGTAATGCTTATTGGAATTTTTGATTATCGGTTCTGCTGGTTTCCTAGTCGCTTCATTAAATTTAATGGCCACCTTGAGATAAGACGTGCCTTCAGCACGGTTTGCAAAGCACCGTACCTTTCATCTGGAGTTATTTTATTAAGATCACACAGTCCTTGCAAAGAAGGGAGCTCAGTAGGTTCACCTAGAAATGAAGTAATTTAACATTAATGACAGCTGTAATTACAGCTGTGTTCCACCTCCATTTCCTCACGTCTGTTTTTGTATTTTTGCTTTTGTGTTCAGCTTATGCACGCAGTAATGTGTAAAAATTCATCTTTTCATATACAGTACATAGATTGGTTACATTTTGCTCTGCGGTTTACTTACTGTATAAATATTAATTTATAGCCGTAACTTTACGGCTATGTTCAAGTGTGAAATCTGTGTATACTACTATGAAGTCAGCATCTTACACATTTTTAAGAATTTCTGAGACTGTGTGAAGGAGTAAGGTGGATCACCATGTGGTGGGGAGGTCTTGGAAGGATGATCTTACTGTATACGGCAAAGTTACTACCTTGTGCCAAGATCTTGTCAGATCTCAGAAGCTGAGCACCTTGGGTGTGG